ACCCAAAACTGGTTATTTTTTTCTCACTGTTAGGAAGTTTCTCCTTAATTTTAGGTTGCTTCTCTCCTTGATTAGTTTCTATCCATTGTTTCTTGTCCTGCCCTGTGGTGCTTTGGAAAATAAGCTCTTTGTAGCAGTCCCTCAAATCCTGGAATACTTCTATCACGTCACCCCTAGTCCTTCTTTTCTCTAGTGTCTAGACCAGTGGTTCTCAACCTTTTTAATGCCGCGACCCCCAACCGGTCGTAAGTCAAGGACTACTCAACCGGTCGTAAGTCGAGGACTACTCAACTGGTGCAGCACCATTTGCAGAATGGGACTTTTGGCGGGCTCAGCAGGGCAGAGACAGTCTGGACAATTCCTATTGGCTTTTGAAAGCCAATAGAATTAGATTCTATTCAAGAGAGTCTATTCTATTGGCTTTCAAAAGCCAATAGAATAAAAGGGATTGCACAGCTAAGGAAAAGGGGGGAAAAATGGCGGACTGCGTTGTTTGGCAACCCCCATGAAATGGTCATTCGACCCCAAATGGGGTCCCGACCCACAGGTTGAGAACCACTGGTCTAGACTATTACTAGTCCTTTTCTCTAGACTATATTGTTCTTATATGTTCTTCCCATTGTTGTGTGCTACCCAGAATCCTCTGGGATTGGGGCAAGTAATAAAGACAACTCATAAATAAATGGTTTTGTATAGTGTTTTTCCTTTAAGGGCCCAAGTCAGTGTATATGAAACAGTCTCCTCCTGTTACCCCCATAACAACAAACATCTGATTTTAGCAGGATTGAGAAAGCAAGAGACTGGACTAATCATCTCATTACTGATTGAGGTGGATTTGATCTCCCAATCCTAGTCTGATATGTTTTCCATGCCTCTGTCTGTCTTCGTGCCTAGGGAGAGCTAAGCACTTTTTCTTACAATTACTTACCAATTTCATCTACCTAGGAAGGCAGCTTTTAATATTTATTTTTGAACACCAAATTCCTGTGTGTTGAACCGTTTTTGAGTTGTTGAATTATGATTTCCTTTTCTTTGACAGGTTCCTCACATGACATGGTTAAAAAAATTACTCATTAAAAATCAAGTATTTTTATATGACAAGGGAACTGTTTATGTGGAAAACCCAGAACCAGAAGCAGAGGAAATATTGAGTAGGGAGAGGGAGACCCTTCTTAACTCTTTAAGAACTCAAACTTCTTAAAAATTTGGAGGATTATTAAGAAGAATGAAGATAGAATAGGGCAATAAAACAAAAATATGAATAATCAAGGAATTCATATCATAAAGAATTTCTCTATGGGAAAGAACCAATTTTAAAATATATCTTAGCATAAATAAGGGAATGAAAAGAGTGAAATAGATGTGCTTGTTTATTTTTATTCATGGCTTTCTTGTCTATGTTTTGTTGTATATTTTCACTCAAAGATTTGGAAGCAAAAATTATATATCTGTGATTTATCACTTTATACAAATATCATGTTCTCAGGTAACTAAAACAGATTTTTTGCTTCACGGTTTTGATGTTCCAGCTTAAGTCTATGTCACAAATGCACAAATGCCTTGGGAGATGACTTGGGAGAGAAGAATTGTAGTAAAAGCAAGTGCACTAAACAGCTGAAAAGAGGCTGTAGGGAATTAATTTAGAACATTTCTGTTTAAAAGTTTAAGATGGTGCTATCTCCATTGAGAATAATTGCACAGAAGAGTGAGAATTTGTTCTTAGAACTTAAAATTCAAATTGCTTAGAAGCAATTTGAAAATTAAGCTATGAATGTAATAGAATACAAAACTGGCAGATATTTCTTTCTATATTTATAACTGATGCTTTGACATTTAAAATGCTAGCAGCAAAGCAAAAAATGCATCTCCTTTTTTGTTACATGTTAATCAAATGCTAAATTTGTTTGAAAAGACAAATTGCTTCTTTTTAATGTCTCAAAGAGAAAACACTAATTTTTAAATGAAAGATTCAAGCAGAGCAATGAGACAGTAATTCAATCAGCAGTAAGGAGATGTTTCTTAAATTTTGCAGATTTCTACATATTTTCCTTGAAGCTATTATTTAATCCTTGAAGCATCTATCTTCCTTTGGAAAGAAGGTTAATGATTCCTATTAATTAAAGGGTGCAATTAAAGATTCTTATATATATGCATACCTGGAACCTTAGTAATTTATCTAAATTGGATGGATCCACTTAGTCAATTGTCTACTCTGGGTGGCATATTCTAAGTTTAATGCAAAAAGCTATACATTTTTGGCTTCTCAATATTACTATCATTATAATGCCATCCTTTGTATAATTGTATTCCCAATAATGCAAAATAATATTCCTCCTATCTCTTCCTTTGCACACTGTGTGTCACTTCTCCTCCAATTCAATCAATCAATCAGTCAGAATAGCGCTGGAAGGGACCTTGGAGATCTTCTAGTCCAAACCCCTGCTCAAGCAGGTGACCTTATACCATTCTGCAGAGGAAGAGACATAATGGATGAAGCCAGCCTCACATTTCTATTCAAATCCTTTATGTTATGGACAATAGTTTGAGTTATGGGCCTGATGTTTTTGTTTTATTGTTTGGAATCAAGAAGGTCATAGGAGCATGATGATGGTAGAATGACATTCTCAGAAAAATGGAACTTAAACTTTGAACTTTGCTTTTGAGGAGTTCTGAGAGTTTGTGTCATCCTTCAAACAGGTATCTGGGAGACTTTAAAACAGTGTTTCTCAACCTTGACAATTTTATGGCATGTGGACTTCAACTCCCAGAATTCCACAGCCAGCATTGCTGGCTGTGGAATTCTGGGAGTTGAAGTCCACATGCCTTAAAATTGTCAAGGTTGAGAAACACTGCTCTAAAATCTTATTTTGTCAGAAAACCTAGAAAAAAAGTCTCAGTGGCAAGATCTTGGGAGTTTCTGTCAGCCACAAAAAAAAAAAAAAGCTTGAACCTAATGGTATGTGAAGAGTATAAAATTCCCACCCTTTCCATTAAAGCACGGGTGTCAAACTCGGTGTGTCACATGACGTGTCACAATGTATCGTGACTTTTTTCACCTTGCCGGAGCTGGGCTGGGCGCAGCCTTCGCATGATGCAACTGGTCCATGGGCTGGCAGTTTGACATCCCTGCATTAAAGCATAGGAATTTCCATTCAAGCTTGAGTTTGTTATATTTCTAAGATTTTTCTACTTCTGTGTAAATGTTAAAAAAACTTATAGATGCACTAGACTTCCTTTTCTCGTTTCTTTCTGAAATGTTAATCCTTCAGAACATCATAAGTAACAATTCTAAAGGGGATTTCCATTATAATTCATCTCTAATGAGCATACCTTTTTTCTTCCCTACTTTATAATATGAAGATGTTATGAACTATCATGAAATGGCTTGTCGAAAACTAGATCTAATTGGCCAGATGGTGAGGACTCTTAAGGGACACTATAATTAAAGTGATACACTATAATTAAAGTGATACACTACAATTGATTCAACATGTTCAGCCACCATACCACCCAATTCTTTCTAATGATAGCTCATTCTTTGCTTTCCTAAACATTAGGAATTAATGTTTAATTCTGGCAATTAAAAACTGAGAGAATAAATAGTAGGAGAGAAGAATGTATTTAGAGGCAAAAAGAAGCTCTTTGGAATTTTAAAATTCAGTCATAAATGAACTCAGTATTTAAAAAATCTATTTAGACATGCAACTATGCACTGCAAAAATTGGAAAACGTGGTGTTGTTATCTTACTGGGCTTAGCTCCATGTAGTTATAAAGTCATGTTTTGGCCAATTATCAAATTATATGTATTTATAGTTTTCCATTTTTTAATTAAGCATTTTCTCCTTGTACTTTCTCCTAGTTAAGCACTGCTGAAAAGAACACATCACCTATAAACCTTGAGGATTTCAGCATTATTCTAAATTGCCTCTTGAAAATTAATGAGCTGCTTCCTTCCATGTTTGCTTGAATATTCTAAGCAGATATGACGTTTTTGCAATGAAAATATTATGATTTTATAGAATAATTCCAATCACAGACCCTATGCAGATTCAAGTCAAAGTTAAAGAAATCAGTTCGAACTGTATTTTACCAAACTTCCTTTGTCTGATGGCTTCCATAACTTCCTTTGATTGTTTATTAAAAATTTCAACTGTTTTTGTTCTCTTTATTTCTAAAACACATACCACTTTTAGATGTACTTCTGTGGGGCTTAGGAATGATAAAGTATTTAGTTTCCAAATTCTTCCCACTATAGCTGGCAATGTGAAAATGATTCAAAGCATACTGTTCCAGTAGACCAGGGGTGTCAAACTCACCATGTCATGTGACAAGTCGTCACATATCATGACTTTTTCCCCCTTTTGCTGGATTGGTGCAGCTTCCACATGACACATCCGGCACGTGGGCCAGTAGTTTGACACCCCTGCAGTAGACCATACAGTAATGAGCAATTTACAGGAGAGCAAATCTATCATACGGGGGTTGGCTCAGTTTCAGGTTAAGGTTAGTTTCAACCTATTTCTATAGCAGTTGAACATTTTTCATGCACATTTCTCTGACATATGTATTTGTGTAAGTATGTTCCAGAATACATATTTTGTGTACATTTCTCTGATTTTAGTGTGAACTGAGCTGAAAAATCCATAAAACTGTGGATCTCAGTGTATAAGCAAGTCCTGGCTTACATATACCCAGCCACTGGTTTAGAACCAAACAAAGTGAGGTGCTACATATTATTGGGAAAAGGGCATATGGGGAAAAAGTTAAAGAATGCTTCAGTCTATCTTAATTATATGCTATCTTAATTATATTAATGTCTTCCTAAAACCTAACTGGCTATTCTGCTCATTCTGTTGGTTGGAACTGTATGGAATACAAGAAGAAATTAAGCATTGTGTGGATTTTTTAAAGAGGTTTCTATTTGTTATATGTTGAAAATAATATTCATACAGAGAATCACCAACTGACTAATTCGTTAGCCTAGAACAGGGCTGGGGAATTCTGAAATCCACAAGTCTTAAAGTTGTCAATTTTGGAGTCCCCTGGTCTAGCAGCTCATGATGATGATGTTTCCATTCAGTCAATCTGATTCTTGGCTATTCTAATGGAATAAGAGAGATAGCTGAGGAGAATGCTGCATGTCGCTCACGACTTCTTGTAGAAATAATAATCTGTGGCAGAAAAAAAGAAAGTATGGTACAAATTCTGAATAACAAACACACTATTTACAAGGACTGCTCCTTAAATTAAGTAGCCATCTTAATTTTCACTGAACGTATCAGCTGCTTGCTAAATTGCCATCATTTGTATTCTACCTGGGCAAATTTCTCTTTAAGGATCTCCTCCTAGTGTAATGATAAGCAAACCATTCAATGATTGATTAAATATTCTGTTTTATTCCTCCATTTAAGATTGTGAATTCCTTTGCTTTGCCTGTTAAAATGGTTGTATTAGGGTATATGATAAAATATTCAGAAAGTAATTTAGAAACTACTCACTCATGCTTGCGAGAGTCGCTTCAGCTGCTTCAGAGGCAGAATTTCCCTTCTTATATTTGCAGTGAATTAAAATTAGGCATTTGGCTATCTGAAAAGATAAAGAAATGGCTCATACTGAAAACATCACTGTGCTGATGTTGCTATTGTATTATTTAGTTGTGCTTCTTCCCTACTTATAAGTGGATCTTGCATTGAGTTTGGGGACAGCAGGACTAATCCATCATGATTTTTTTATCTGTATTCTAAGAATTTGTTAGGTTATGGGGATCAAATGGCCCAGCATTTGCTCAGAGTATGGTAGTCTTTGCAAATTTGCATCAGGAAAGACATGAGTGGGATAAAATGTTCTCAATATCAGTGTTTGTGTAGAATCCTGACCTGGACATATAGTTATCAAGACTGGTTAATGTGATAAAATAATTCACTTACAAAAATGATATTAATATTTTATACTAATGGGCAGTGGTGGTATTCAAATATGTGAACAACCGGTTTTCTGTGTGGATGCCACTTCTGGAAGCCTCTTCTGGGTCTGGGCAACCAAAAATTAGCTACTGGTTCTGCCGAACTGGTGTGAACTCGCTGAATTCCACCACTGCTAATGGATATATAAGAGAACCACAGTAAACTCAAACATTCAAATTCCTAAGTGGGTAAAAAGTGAATTTAATTTGGAAAGTAAGAATCAAGCTTCTGATTTGGGTCTTAACAAAAGAAGAAAAAACATACAAACAAATTTTTCCATTATCTTGTAGCTCTGCTTTGAGTCTCACAGGAAGAAAGAGGGAAGGCACCTTAAAAAAGAGGAAGCATCCACATTATGAACTCTTGACCAACTGTCTCTTCCATAAGGGAATTCTCTTCTCTTTCCCTTTCCCTTCCCTTCCCTTCAGAGATCCTTGCCAGATCAACATACCTTTGAACTTTATTTTTCTTTTGTTTGCTTCCCCCTTAATAGCAAATTTGGTTCCATTGTCTTTGGTCTTAGAGAACATTTTATTATGTCTTGTAAACATCAGCCAAAATCTCAACTATTTCCATAATTTCTTCAGCATAAAGGGGAAGAGGTCTAACACTGTTGAGCTTAGAGCCAATGGTTCTTCAGAATTCCCTTATTCTCAATTGAGGACTCAAACAGGATGGTTATGAATTGGGGCAGACAGGAAGAGAGAAGAAACATAAATAGAAGGCAGAGGTGCAAACCAAGGACTATTTTGTTTCTCTTTTTGTTAAAGGGATTCTTGCTTCATGGTGAACTTTGGATTTCTGATTAAATATTAATTGGCTTAAGACTTTCTATGATTTGCTTTGAAATGATTTTTGCTTTATAGTACATGATTTCATTGGAACTGGATGAAATGCTCTTTGTGGACACTAGAAATTGGCATTAAACCTTTAATTCCTAGAGTCCTTGGAAATTAAGGGATGTTAATATAAAATATATCAGATTCAATATTTATAAATGTTTATATTTATTATTGTATTGTATTTTCAAGATTCATTTTTTTTGTTGTTATTATGATTGGTAGTATACCCCAACCTTCTTCTTTTGTAATGTAAAGTTATCGAGCAATGTTTTATTTCTTTTTAATTTGAGCCCCACAAAGGAAAATGTTCGGCTGTGATTTTATTCTTCATTCTCTGACATTTCCATTATGAAAAATGAAGAGGTAGTTGAACATATGATTCTTTGAAATGTTCCTTGAACATTTTCTAACTAAGAAAAGAAGGTACATATTTTTGACAGATAACAAATCTGTCTGAGGGACCATCTCTTCTCCATCTAACCCATGTGAGGAGACAAGGAATGTTGCGGATCCTGTCTTCTAAGGAGGTATATCTGGTGGAACCCAGAAGTGGCTCTCTCCCTTTGGAATATCATCACCACAGAGATTAGACTGGCCCCCATTTTGACACTCTTTCACAAGCCCCTGAAGACTTGATTTTGCCAATGGGCCTGGGAATCCAGAATGAGATTAAGCCCATCAAATGGCTCATTTGATTGTGTGTTGTCACCAAGGGGGTGGGGATAATTGTTTTTTATTCTTCTATATTGTAGTTTTTATTGTTTGTAAGCTGACCAGACTCACTGAGTGACCATATAATCTTCTAAATAAATAAAATAAGTTGAGTAGTTTTCATAAAGTTTCATTCAGAAATAACAGAATAATAGAGTTCAAAAGGGACCTTGGTAGTTTTCTAGTCCAACCCCTGCTCAAGCAGGAGACCCTACACCATTCTGAACAAATGACTGTCCAATCTTTTCTTAAAAACCTCCAGTGATGGAACACCTAGAATTTCTAGAGCACGGGTGTCAAACTCGCCACATCACGTGATGTGTTGTGATGTATTGCAACTTGTTTTTGCATTGCCGGAGCTGGGGTGGGAGCAGCCGCCATATGATGCAACCAACCTGTGGGCTGGCAGTTTGACACTCCTGTTCTAGAGACAAGCCATTCCACTGATTAATTGTTCTCATGGTCAATAAATTTCTTCTTAGCTCTAGGTTGGATCTCTTCATGGTAAGTTTCCTTCGGTTACTTCTTGTCCTGTCCTCAGGTGCTTTGGAGAATAGATTAACCCCTTCCTCTCTGTGACAGCCTCTCAAATGCTGGAAGACAGTTCTTATGTTATGTCTACTTATTCATTTCGTTACACTAGACATACCCAGTTCCTGCAACCATTCCTCATATGTTTCAGCCTCCAGCCTTATTAAAGCTTAATAGTTAGGATTCTTCTCATTTCTTCTAAAAAAGTTTTCAATGAAATAAATTGAAGAAGTCTTTTCAATAACTGCAGAATATTTTCTGTAGCATTCAGATTGAGTCAGAGTATATGCAAAAGTACGTTTCTTTGATCTTGTTCTATTTATGGACCAACACATTTTAAAGGAAGTTGCTTGAGATCATGGATATTCAGATTTTCTGTGCCACTCCATTCTTCTGTCCCATTTTAAAAGTATGATATGCATCATACCTGTTTTTCTCTCAACATTTTAGATTCTTACTCAAAGTGTTATACATCTATGCCATGTGTCTACAGGTAACCTAATGTGTACTTAAAATAATTCAAACAGATTCCTAGGAATGCTTCTCAGATGGTATAAATCAGTTTGACTCTTTTTTAAGGAGCAATGCCAGAAATATGCCAAGATGTGGCTCTTCTCAAATAAAACTGTTATATATTATGTATCATCAAGGTTTTTATGAACAGAAGCAGAACAGATGGAATTATTTTTATATGTCCTACTCATAACTGTAGGCAGTAATGGAGTGTGGATAGCTAGGGAATGGTTTTATAATTCGCCTTTTATTGCATTTATGCAGGAAAAAATATGACTTTCTTCCATTATAATTGTTCCATTTTCAACGCTATATTTATGGAGTCAAATAATTTATATCAGTGAATCTCTTCTCTGACTATTGTCAGTGAATGTTTCTTTTTTCCATACTTTTAGGAAATTGAGCCTGAAATTACAGTAATATTTAAAGAAAATATATCACAATGCTCCAGAATGGCATATTAATTAATACAGACACAGAATATTACATATATTGTAAGGTGTAATCAAGTGATAGTTACTGTCCAAACATTTCTCATTAAAGTCTTTCAAAGGTTCTTCTTGGTGATATATTCTATAAATAGTGCTAAAATGATTTAAGGTACTAATTCATACATTGTATAAAATAGTGCTTTTTTTCTGGGCAGTAGTACTAGAGAGGCCAATCTGTTTTTTTTTTTTTTTTTTTTTTAAAAAAAAACCCTCTACATATTGAAAAAAAATTTCCACAAAGCTTTTCTAATTTTAAACATTCTTTTCTAATTTTCATATGATTTTTTAAAAACATAGCAGCATGCCTTTTTTTGTATTATAGAATAGTATCCAGAAATGTTATTTTACTTACTTATCAAATATCCACACCACCCATCTCCCATGAAATGCTTTTTAAATATATAGGTCAGGCTGAACAGTAGTCAATGTAATGTTTACACCTCACTTTAAAGTGATGGTTGCTTAAGCATGATTTATTGAATAAAACTAAATGGTTGGATTAATTTAACATGCTCAGTATGGTTTTCAGTGATTGTATTCATGTCATCTACTAAACCAAAGCCAAACAATCCATTGGATGGCTTATCACCAAGTATGAATTCAATTACATAACTGGTAGAATGACTCTTTGAAATTCAGTTGTGCTAAAGCAGAAGGGATGGGTTACAATTGCACCTTATTCTGTTGATAGTACAGCTATAATAAAATGACTGAGTTAGGATATGGCAAATGGAACCTTTAGTAAAAGATGTCCATTCTTTACTCTTTGTTATAAAAGTTTTGAAAATACAATATCTTGCTATCTCCATTAATACTAGCTGACAGCTACTATGATATTAATGGACACTTCTGCACTGTTATAACTAATCTTGTATCAGTGATGGAAATATTACAAATTATGATGCCTGTTCTTGGGGTGGGGGAACTCTTTTCTTTTCTTCTTCTTCTTCCCCTCTTGTTTAGCATATAAAAATGACCAGCGTGGTTATTGCTAAGAATTCTGGAAACTGAAGTCAATATGTCTAAACCTGAGGAAGATGACTTGTTTTAAAATGTTAAACTAAGAGAGGATTGATGGTAAATCAACATACATAAGATTTAGCCTTCACTTTAATCAGGCTTTCCAATTTTAGTATTAAATTCAGTGTCCATTAAACTATTGAAAACGAATCTGTAAGAATTTTATTTGGACTCTTTCTAATTTGGTAAAATTGCAGTAAGAACAGACTGCCGCCTGAAGAAGCTACTTGGAAAAGCATCAAATATTTTAAACAAAAAAAAAAAAAGAAGAAGAAGAAGAAGAAGAAGTCCAGTTGCCATGACTTAATATCCAGACAACAGGACCTGCATGACTGAGAATCTCTTTCAACATATTGCAGTAAGAACAACCTTAGAGCTATCCAATTTCTGGACCAGAATTTCAGTCCAGAAGACTTTCATCCTTATATCAGTTGTGTACTGTTCTTGGCTCATCCCAAGTCTTGTTGCTCCAAAGATCATTCTTGGTTTATATCTGATTTATGGCATTGCAGTGGATTTGTAGGAAATGACCAGGCTGAGCCTGAGGGGAGGATCTAAGTTCTCTTTTCATAACTTTGAGAATTAAAAAAAAAACAGTATTTCATTATTGATAAAAGTAAAATAGTGATATGTTTGCCAGCTAATTTTGCAGGAAGGAAATCTGGATTGTTCAATATGTTAATAAATTAATATCAAATTAAATAGTATTGAGACTAATAGTCATCCCTGTTGGACTCCTCTGTGGTTTGTGGTACATTTTAGTACAGACCCTGAGTATTCTAATGAAGGCAATACTATAAAGTAAGTGAATGAGCAAAAAATATCATGTATGAGTAAAGAGTGCCTGTTTAGATTGTCAGAATGCTACAGACATAATATACTTTGATTTTAGAAAAGCATAAAGAAAACTAATTAAAGCTGGTTAAGTGCCATAATAATTAAGTAGATCTCAAACTGGATGAAACATCATATTCAAATTTCTAATCATTTATTCTGCATCTAACCGGAAAGAGATGTTAAGTAGGGTGCCACAAGAATTAGTCTTGGGCCCATTACTCTTCAATATTTCTATTAATTGTTAGGTGATGGCATGGAGAGTAAGTGTATGACATTTGCAGATGACATGAAAATAACAATGAATGAGATATGGCAGAAATAAAATTTAAAATGATCTTGATAATTTGGAGAAATGGGGTGAAATTAGAGAAATTTAACAGTGTTTATGCAAAATGCTTTTCTATTGGGAAACAAAAAATAAATTCAGAAGTATAGGATTAGAAATATTATCTCATAATAATTGCAAAAAAGAACTTGACATATTAGCTGATTGCAAATTGAAAATGAGCTAGAAAGTGACATGGCTGCAGAGAAAGCTAATGCAATTTTAGGCTGCGTGAACAGTAGGATTGATTGGTTAATTAACTGAAGGTATATCCTGTCACAATCAATTCAGCTGTCAGAAGCTCATATGATAGAAAAGCAATTTAAAACATCCATGTTAGATTGGTGTCCAGATCATGGGTTGAAGTTGGTCTTCAGTATCACTCAAATGTGATCAGGAATTGTGACAGGTTTATTTGTGTAGGGAGGCTATTCTAGAAAATAGATAATGCAAACAAGAACTCCCTTTTCTTCTAGAAATGGAACAGTAGAAGCAAATGTTCCCTAGATGATTTAACAGGTCAGATTGATTCATGGATATGTAGCAGTCCCACAGAGTACCTAGGTGCCTATGCATAAGTAGTTTTATAGGTTAAAACAAGGGAAGATAATTGAAATAATGGAAAACAGTATCTCCTGTCCTCAAGCTCATAAAGTAACACGAAGATACTGTAGTTTATGGTAGCAAACACTGCAGAGACATCTAAAAGGACAAAGAGAGTTTCATTGCCTGCATCCAGGTCCTGATAGTGATCATTAATGAAAAATCTATGCTATCTTGGTCTCATGGCTGTGCCTAAATTGTTTCATCCAGGGAACTACAAAATTGAACCACCACACTGTTTCAAAATATTTTGGAAATAAATAAAATTTTCAAATCATAAAAATATTCAGAAGTTTGGAAGTACATTTTCTGACCAAGAGATTTTATTTTTTTTTTATTGAAAATTTTTAGGTTTTACAAAAAGAAAAGATTCCCCTCCCCCACACCCTCCCACCCCTCTCCTACCCTCCCCCAATCTTCCCAGAGCTGAATACAGGCTTAATTAAAAAAAAAATAAAAAAATCTTGAAACACTTATAAACCTACCAAGAGATTTTATTAAAACACATATGCTTCCATGAGCTACAGTTTGCTTCAGCAGATACCTGGAGTGCTACCAGATTCTAAATTTTTGCACCATAAATTAACACAGCTTTCTTTCCACAAATCACAGGAAGCAATTACTCCACCTAATTCATTTTTGATCAGAATATAATTGAGTACTGTGTCTAGTTAGGCCCCAGAGGATTCAGAGGAATTGAAACATGGGCCATGAAGATGACCAAGGAGCCAAGTAAAGAGAAGCTGAAAGAGTTATACGTTTAATTTCACAAAGAAAAATTGATAGGGATATGATGATATTCTTCATATATCTGAAAGGCTATCACATAGAGAAAGGTTCTCCAAAGGGCAGGGCACAGGATAGTGGAACTACATTTCAGGAAGATTCAGACTGGATGTTTGGAAGTGGAGTTAGGTTGAGACCACCTTCCTTACATTTAGAACAATTTAACAGTGGAACCAATTATTCCAAGAGATAATAAGCTTTCGTTCACTGAATGGATTCTAAGGGAGGCTAAACAACTAATTGGAATTGGTGGCTTAAATGCTTCCATATAACACTATGATTTTTATGAGGGTACTTTAAACGTGATGTCCCAAAGGTACTTTTTCAAGAGGCAACTGGGCTTCTTTTGCTGTTCCTTGTTTCACTTCTCATCCAAGAAGTGAACTGAAGAGGCTTCTTGGATGAGAAGTGAAACATCTTCAGGGAAAAACAAAGAAAACCCACTTGCCTCTTGAAAAAGCACCTTTGGAACAACCATAACTGGATGAATCCACATACATATAAACATGATGGTATTGCCGCTCTTTTTCTGTTGTTACTTTCCTCTCATGATCTTTTCTGTAGACCACGGTGAGGAAACTATGGCTTTCCAGGGGCTGCTACACTTTTGGTAAATAGTATAACAATATGATAATAAATAAATCCATACTTTGCCTTGAATTGGGCATTCTGGTTGAAAATATTCCAAATATTTTTGTTCTAATACAGTTCTAAAGCAACCAACATTTCCTTCAGATTGAACTTGACTCCCTTTATCTATCTATTCGGGTTTGTGCAATTGTAATTGTGAAATGTCTATGGAAATTCTCAGTCATCCAGGTCATGGTTGTCCCAAAGGTGCATTTTTCAAAAGGCAACTGGTCTTACTTTGTTTTTCCTTGAAGATGTTTCGCTTCTCATCCAAGAAGCTTCTTCAGTTCTAACTGAAGATCAAGTTATACACTACAAACCAGTCAGTATCCAAGGGAGTGAGGAACAAGAAGCTTCGTGGATGGGAAGATAAATGTCTTCAAGAAAAAACAAAGAAAGTCAAGTTGCCTCTTGAAAAAAAGCACTTATGGAGTAATTGTGAAATGTTTGCATAATTTTCTTGATAACTATTTAGAAATATCTTGCCACTCTCTTTTTCTGTGAGGTGTTTTCAACTTTCCAGTTTAGCCCAATCTACTTTCTCTTCCGGGTACTCTGCCCCAACTCTGCTCATTTTTCATACTCATTAAAGATAGCTATTTAAAAGGGAATAGAGTAAATATATATTAAAAAATACCACTAACCTTAGAAAGAAAACACATTTGATTAGTTCTGCAATAGATTTCAGTAATTCTATTTATATTATTGTGAACATCACAGATTCAGCATCTTTAATAGTTATATTGCATGGCTAATTGCACATAAAATAAGTATAAACCGGGATTCAGTTTTCTGATCATCATTGCTCCCCCATGTGCCCAATTAAAATGAATATAGCTGACATATCGGTCAATCAATTTCTCTCACTAGCACAGCTCCTGAGATACATAATTAGGCTCCTAATTTTGCTACCTTTCACTTTCCACAAATGGCAAATTATCAGAATGAGGCTGATAATCACATTATCAAATGCTCATATTCTTTAGGTTCTTGAGGATATTTGTGACCTTTGAAATGATGTACTATTGGTCATGTTCTACCTAATTCCCTATTTTGCATTCAATAGAAGTATTCTATTGAAAATTTAGTCCACTGAATATAATACAAATGAACTGTAGAATAGGTATTGACATGTCCATCAAGTTACTGTATTTTTCTGTCTATAAGATGCACCCTTGTGAAAGACAGCCCCCAATTTTCTAAACAAAAATTCAGAAATCAACATTTTAAATATTAAACAAACCACATCTTTAGTGGCAGTAAAACAAGGGAGGTGAGTTCCTCCAATCAGATGGTGCTTTGCAGGCTTAGTCTCGCTCACCCCCTTGGCTGTCAATCACTGTATTGAGGTGGCTTCCTCTTGTAGCTTCAGCCCGAACTGCACTGGTGAAAAATGGGTCATAGAAGGTAGCTTCAGTGGGACTGGCGGCATCCTTGGGGCAGTGCGATCCTCCAGCACCAGGCAGCATCTCAGGCCAGCTTTCTTCCCATCCAGGCGGCATCCTCCTACACCAGGCGACATGGCAGCAGCATGTAAAGAACCCGCACAGCATGCCCTGGGCTGTGGAGGTTACCATTATTTTTCCATGTATAAGACACTGCACTTGTATAAGGCGCACCTGATTTTTGAACAGGGTGTTTGCAGGAAAAAATAGCACAGAAAAATATGGTACAGACCACGAACCAGTAAGTACCCAAGGGAGTGAGGAACAAGAAAACAAACAATAAATAACTCAGAGTTAATGTGGTACAAAATGAGTTTAATATCACCACAACAACTGGCACTAAATAACCCATTGCCAATCAATAGCGAACCATAGTGATACAACTTACTTTTGAAGATATCAAAACTATTTTTAAATGATCATAAGAATGCTCAGTTAAAAGTTTTTGGTTTTGTTTTTAACAAAAAGTCTGGAAAAGCCCATGCAATTTTTGGTAAAAAAAATATTCATTTCAGTGCTAAAGGAACATTAGTATAGGCTCTTTCACAATCTAAATACAGAGAAAGGCTTCTATTGATGAGTTTTTTACAAGGACAAAGTCGTTGAATCAAATATCTTACCCTCAGAAATAGCTCTTGGAATGTCATTACATTTTGACAGAGTTAGAGCTCTTCCAAATTTAACAAAGATTACTCAGCTTGAATTATATTCAAGCAACAGGAGTGCTGATTCCCTCTGGATCTTGCAAAAACGAGAAGGGAATGTGGCAGGTGGTTAGAATTTAGGGATGGTCACAGATGAGTCAAAATAGTCAAAAGTGCAAGGGTTCACCAATTTAACAGAGGCCTAGTATGCCCCCGTATTGTACTCAATTAATATTATCATTTCTCATTTAGAATGACATCATCAGCCATGTATTATACCACATTAACAATTCTTTCCCATTCCTCTGTATCATCCCTAATTTATTATCATTTCTTCCTTCCATAGTTAGATTGCTTCTATTAATCCCACCATATGGAGATGTGGTGAATGAAAGTCACAAAACCAGAAGCCTTATTGCGACTTAATTCTCTAGGAAACATATGTTTATATGGATTCTACATGAGGCTGTGTGAACATAGCAGATGTATTTTAGAAAAAAAACAAATGCATGCATGTTAAAAGCCCTATTAGCATTCATAGTCTAATGAAAGTTCTAGTTTTTGACTAACATTTTTCCTATCTTATGCCAGCCTTTTCTGCTAAACAGTTCACTAATGTTTGTAAATTGCAATCATATTAATAGAACCTGCATTGTCTGGCTCTAATGTGTTCTGTCATTAAAGAAAGCTATATTTGGAAATAAATGCTATGTAAATCTATATTTTGATTAGCCTTTCTAGATCTGAGGTGTCATAGCTGAGACTCATGAGAATTGGTGCAACACATCCAGAGAATTTTAACTAGATCTCACTGCTATAATTCTTGACCTCCTGATTCCTTCTTTTTGGGCTAATCATTAGTTCATTCACCCCCCCCCAACATGTCTTAAACATGTTCAATATCTTCAATCACTTTTATTCCATAATAGTTCTAATCTATAAACTACCTAGTCTATCTCTGAACACAGTCCTAATTTGTATTCTATATATAAATAATTTGTGAACTTACAGAGCCGTTTGCAGTGCTTTTTTCTTTTATTATTTTGTGTCTTAACAGAAATATTGATTTGTGTGTGTGTGTGTGTGTGTGTGTGTGTGAAATCAAACATTGGATTTTGGATACTTAAAGGAATTCAGTGGTATTTTATTTTTAAAATGTCCAAGTAAACTTATTTAGTCAGAAGTAGCAGTGACCCCATTCAAACAATCAATTGAGTTCACAGAACCAGTTTTAGAAATATATGCCAGAGACATCTACAAAGCACATAAAAAGATTTTAGAAGGCAGGAGTGACTGCGTGATCAAAGTCCTGTCCTTTTTATATACACACCCCTCCCGGTGACTTCATCTGGTTTTTGACTTCTAGCAACTGCAGGTTTTTTTGGCAACGTTGATTTTTGCCATTGCCTCCTTTCTAAGATTAAGAGAGAGTGACTAATGGTAGAGTTATGTAGGCTAAGAATGACATCCACCTAAACACATGCGATATTTATTAGATTATTAACATTTAATATTCATACCAAGTCTGCCAATGAAGAGGACAAACATCCAGATTAACACTAGATGGCAAGAAAATGATTCAAAAATCCTAACTATTGTGGGAGGATAGGTTTTAGCCAAAATAACAAATGTAGATAAGTACAGATAGGACTTGGATTAAATTGATTTCTTGACCCCATTTCTTCTCTATTGGAATACAGAATAACTGATCATATGAACAAATGCCAAAGATGGTCCATGGTTGAAGGTCCTTGGTGGTCTCTGAACTTGGTTTTTTTCTTGCAGATGTTTCATTACCTGAACTAGGTAACATCATCACTGATATAATTTGCTATCATTGTACTGCTATGAGACATGCTACCCCTCATTTCTACTCTGAGCTACAAATATTCTCCTTTATCAGTCCATCCTTAGAAGCATCTAGCCTCATAGCATGAATAATGGGCAAACTTGAATCTACTAATATCACAAATGAAACAGAAGATTTGGAAATAATCTAACCACAACCTCTATTCTTATGTTGATGTGATCAGAGCAATATATAGAAATATATGTTTATCATTCTAAATCTGTTGTTCATGATGCACCTCTTGACTAAAAGTATCTTAGCTAGCTTAAGAATCATCAAATCCATTGAGATAGAAAACCACTTGTCCAGGAAAATCATGAATTGATACTTCTTTGTTTGCAAAATCCAAATAGAGCAGGTCATCTGCTAGATTTCTGAAAAAAAAAAATCTAATGTTGAATGACAGAATATGCAATAAGAGATTTAGAGGCCACAGCTGAAATTAGAGACATGGAATTGTGTGATGAATGTTATTGGCTTTGCTTGGAAAATTTGTCCCTATATGAGACTTCTAACATTTCAGCCTTTTTAAAACAAATTATTTGGATTAAATATGTCCTGAGGGTGATGCTGGGTTATTAAGAGCTATACCAAGACATTTAGATTTTTATGGAGAAATAAATATCCCAAGTAATAAGTAATGTTTTTTTTTCAACTCCTTGCAGCTGTTTATTACAATTCCCAGAGTTACAGATTTACTTTTTTCCCCCACTTGCTTTTGATCCATATTTCTGCATTGTAAAATTGAAATATGATCTCATAAATTCTTGTATATATGTATGAATTGAAATATTGGTTATTGATTCCACTCCACTGTTTAGCATAAGAATCGCTGTCCCATGCTTGTGTTACTCTACATAGTATATGACAAGCCACAATGTAAGCCAACTAATACTAATACTAAACTTAGAAAGGAAACTGACCAAACAGCAGAGGTATAAAAGATCAGCTCCTAATTCACAAGATGATTTTGGAAAACTGCAAGAAAAGAAAGATAATATTAAATGTAGCTTGGATTGATTCAAGACTCCCTATTTGGATAAATCAAGTTCTTAGAAATAATAGAAGTCAGTAGAAACATCAGAAAACATCAAGCACATTGAAATAAGAAGAAGGTTAGTACTGAATACGTAAGAAAAGTGATGTCCAAACTGAGTGGTGGACATATTATCAAGACAATTAGAACCTGGGCAATTCCAGTCATTAGATACACAGCTGGATCAGCAGACAGACTTAAGCAGAATTAGAAGTCCTGGATAGAAAAACCAGAAAAAATAATGGCAATGAATTTCCTTCATCCATGCATTGGAGACATTGACAGACTCTATGTATCAAAGAAAATAGGTAGATATGGAATGGTGTATGTCTACCAGACAATTAAAGAAGCAAAAAGGACACTGGAAAAATATCTGATCACAGTGAAAAAGTTGCACTAAAGCTAGTACACCAGGAATACTGAATAGCAAAGAGTCCAAAATGATCTATAAGAAATACCAATAAATAAGAGGAAAAAAAAGAAAAAAAGGAATAGGGCAAGGCAAAGTGGCCAGTACATTAAAAAAACAAAGAAATCAACAACCGAGCAGGCAAAGCACATAACAAAACCTGGCAATAGCTAAACAGCAGGAAAGTTGAAGACAGAAACAGAGGAGATAATTATGGCTGTTCAAGACCAGGCTTTAAGAACATAGCATTCAAACAGAGAATTGAGATGACAGCAACAGACAGCTGCCTCCGCAAAGAAGCTGAAGAAACTGTTAGCTGCTGCAAGATCACACACTATGACTACAAACCATGGCATAATAAAACAGCAACAATGGTGCATTGAAATATCTACAAGAAATACTATTTGACTGCAAGCAAGAACAAAGGGACAAAATAGACAAAGTAAGTAGAAAATGAAGAAGCTATAGTGTTCTGGTATTTTAGAACTGAAAAGACAAGCACCTGCCACATAACCCCCCCAAAACACTATCAGCATTGACAAAATCACCATCCGTCAATTGCCAAAGGCAGCTTAACCTGAAACAGCAAATTCAGTCTAAACATCTGTCGACCAACTATAATAGCATCAACAAAATAATAACTAGAGGCAAAAATGGCTATATAAGGGACTGTTGGTACATCATTTAGAAAATTGGAGAAGTGAACCGTTAAATGATAAATACAGTAAAAAGACCTTAAACTAAAGTGCACAAAATTAAGAATTGGCAATGGTTATAAACTGACGCCATTAGGAAAAAAAAAAAAACAGAAAGATTCATTTTTCCAGCTCAAGAAGAAGCATTACAAACAACTCTGGTGAAATCAAGGATTCAGCATCTATCAGACAGCTACAAGTGCAGAATTTGAAATGAAAAGATGAAACCATTTATTATGAGTAAATGGATGCCGAAAAATTGCTTGGGCTGACTATAAGCAATATAATGACAGAGTAGCCATTGCTAGCTATTGGCATTGATGCAACAGCTATAATTTCAGAATTTCCTGAATGTGACATGATCACAAAATTGAGAAAGTAGCCGACAATGATGGAAATGGGATTTTTGCAATACACTAATTACCATCTGGAATACAACTAACCAGTTATATAACAATAATTGAAAAGAGTGACATTTGCAAATGGGGCAATGCCAAGAGAGAGAAAAATTAAGGAAAAATAAAAAAAAATAAAATAGAGTTCTAACAATAAACCTGAAGGATTTTGCAAAGTCATTCTACAGTTATTGATGCAATTGGTGGAATAAAAGTAGATTAAATAAATGTTCGCAGGAACTAAATATTTCAGCTTTATAAATTGCAGATTTGTAAAAAACTAAAAATAAAACAAAACCTCCACTGTATTGGATACATGTTATTCTCAGCCATAGAAATTAACTTGGTGTTTTGGCCAAACTATATGGACTTCCTGAAGCACTTGAATGAAAGGGCAGGATATACATTCAATAAATACCGTATATGCCGGCGTATAAGGCAACTTCCGCAAGCGCTAAAATCGGCGCCAAACTGGTAGTTCCGGCGTATAAGACGATGTTCTAGAAATGCAGCTTGGCAACAAAAGACGGGGGTCGTCTTATATGCCAGATCGCCTTGTACGCCGGCATATACAGTACCTGGTGTCATTTATTGTTTACAAAAATGAAAAAAAAAGAAAGTTGGGGGTTTAATTTGAAATGAATATTTAATACAATGATCTGTGGTGGGAGATTTTTTTTCCCCTTTGGATCATGTGTTTTAAAGGTCACTAATCTGATTACTTATTTTTTGGACAGCAGGAAGAAAGATTCTACCACAAGGGATCTAACTCTTTTGAGCTATCAGACAATAGCAAAATTATATTTCTCTGGAAGACTGAAGGTAGATGACAATATGAGCATGATTGTCCAGCTTCATCTTCTCCAGCATCTTTGACTGTACCTTGAAAAATTTAATATCTTCCAATGACATGAAACATATTTTTGATTTTTTCATCATCTAAAGTGAAATCTTTTCCTGAATGAACTATAAAGAAAGTCTCTAATTATTTTGCTGACTGGGGCAGATGAATTGAATCTCCAGATCTCAGAAACACTTTTGACTGCAGTTGTTGAAAAATGATAGCATAATTTTGGTTCTAGGATAAAAATGATACTGTAATATTTTTATTGTGCATACAAGCTTTCTAAAATTCTTGCTGAGGCATAAAAATATTCTGAATGGTTAAGAGTCTTTGGGCCATACAGACTTTACAAATTTAAAGAGATTTTCTTTTTTCCCTCACAACTGAATTTTGGTGAGATTGAGACAGAACTAAAGTTGTATTATTACTGTGATTGATCACACAGTCAGCCAGATGTTTAGACTGGATTTGTCATTTTTATCCACCTGGGATAGGCAGATGTTGTTTCTCGATGGTGTTAAAGGTATCATCACAGGATCATCTGGGTAAAGCTGCATTTTGCAATTGACTGATGGTGATTTTTTCAATTCTAGTGGTGTTCAAGTGGTGCTTCAGATGTTTTGGGATTGCCTAATGGTGCTTCAGATTTCTTTGGGATAATACTGTTAGTATATCTTTGCTTTCATTTGCCACAATTGTTCTACTTCTATTTGCCATGGTGGCGCAGTGGTTAGCAGTACTGCAGACTACTGACTGCTGGCTGCCTGCAGTTTAGCGATTCAATTCTCACTGGCTCAAGGTTCACTCAGCCTTCCATCCTTCAGTAAAATGAGGGCCCAGATTGTTGGGGGCAATAGCCTGACTCTGTAAACCACTTAGAGCCCTGTGAAGCACTATATAAGTCTAAGTGCTATTGCTATTGCAGTTTATTGTATTTTTTTATTTTCTTTAGTTCTTTTTATTTCACTCTCTCCAGATATTGCCATGTCCATTATCCACACTTTTTGGTCTTTCTTGTCCACAATTGTTAAGTCTGGAATATAGTGTGGCAGATGCTTGTCTGAATTGTGAAGTCCCAGAGCACTTTGAAGTAATTTCTATTACTTTGTCTATTTTGTGATCCCACCAGTATTTGCTTGCAGGCAAGTGATATATCTTGAAAACATTCTAATGCACCATTGTTACTACTTTGTCATGCTGTTTTATTATTTATTATTATTTCAACATACCATTAAACATGTATATCACAACATTAAAAAAAAAAACACAAAATTTCCTAAAGTCAAGAAGCAGTGATGTGTTAAAGGAGGAAAAAAATCTAATCAGACTTCAGAAAGTAGAAAGTGTAAAAAAAGAAAAAAAAACTGATTTTGATTGGTATAAGATAGGGTAGAGAGACAATCTGGCAGGCTTTCTAGATCCTGTTATTCTAGCCTACAACAAAGCTAGCATTCCTGGAATCTCTGTTGTTTCTGCTCCTTTACCTCAAATGGCTGGCATTAATTCAGTTATGGCTTCCAGCAAAAGAAGGTGGATGATCAAGAAACATTGTCCCTGTATTGAAGATTCATGGGAGAAGAGTGAGCTACTTTTTCAAGGTGAAGAGCCTCATTAAACCAGAATGACCTTTCCCTATGGAAGATTGTAAGTTAAAAGTGCCTGCCAAGCACTAATGGCAACCTAAATGCATAAGAAATACAGATGGCTACTTGGAGTATATTTTAAATGTATAACTGTAATATTGTGATCTCAGAGGAAAACTTTGCATTGACAGTAAATATGCATGGGATAAAAATAATTTTTTAAAAAAATCTAGTAACCCATTAAACTGGCCTGTCCTTCAGGAAATTCACATTTTTGTTTGGAGATGTTGCAGAAAACAGTTGCTAATATATGAAAAGTATAACCCAGTGGTGGGATTCAGCCAATTCGCACCACTTCAGCAGAACTGGTAGCTAAGTTTTTGTTGCTCAGGCCCAGAATGGACTCTTGGAAGCAACATCCACACAGAGAACCGGTTGTTCACATATTTGAATCCCACCACTGGTATAATACAATTCTATTGTTCCTGTACTCTGACAATGGATAGTAAAAGGAGCAGCGTGGAACAAAGAAAAAGTGGCTGGGCCTTAAAGAAATCAATTTATTTTGAAGCTAGGATGGAAAGCATTGCTGTTTACAATTGGTGGTAGAGAGGAGATTTTACTTTGTCTTACCGAATAGAGTTGGAAGGGACCTCGGAGGTCTTCTAGTCCAACCCCCTGCTTAAGCAGGAGACCATATACCATTTCAGACAAGAAACTGTCCAGTTTCTTTTAAAAACCTCCAGTGATGAACACCCACAACTTCTGAAGGCAAGCTGTCCCTTTTATGTATTCGGGATTCAGGCATTACACGAAGGCACATTGTGAACAACAAGCTTCTTTATTGATCTTCTCCTTACAACCAGCAAAGCAAAAATGGCATGCAGGCCTTTTATAGTGTCCGGACCCTGGACAACAACAACCAATAGGAATCTGGCTATTTCGTGCCTTGCACATGTGCACAAGGCTGGCGCCAGCCAGTCTGATCCCGGGCAGCTTTTGGTTTGCCTGGGACCGTTTGCAACATTTCTGAGCCTGCTGAATACTTCAGCAGGCCCAGGACACAACAGTCCCACTGGTTAATTGTCCTTACTGTTAGGCAGTTTCTCTTTAATTCTAGATTGCTTCTCTGCTTGATTAGTTTCCATCCATTGTTTCTTCACTTGCCTTCTTGTTTTAGCTTCTTCCCTTCTGTATGAATCTATGCACCAAGAGGAAGGGTATATCACTGTTTCTGGGTGGATTTGATTGAGAAGCTATTAAACAGAGTGAGTATACAGATCCCTCTATGGGAATGATGAAATTCATTTATATTAATTAAAAATATAATATAAAATATATTTATTACAATTAGTGTTCTTATTAATCTACATTTTTATACAATCCTCGCTCACTGCTCAAAAGCCAAAAGGACATAAAGAATGTTCTGCATTTGTGATTTAGAGCTCAATATATTTAATGTAAAACAAAATTATTTGTGGGTTTAAAAAAATGAAAATAATCCCTGTTGTATCATAGTCCTGGCAAATAATAATAATAGAATAATAAGGGCATGATTAGAAGTTTTAAAACAGAGAGAGAGAGAGAAAGAGAGAGAGAGAGAGAGAGAGAGAGAGAGAGAGAGAGAGAGAGAGAATATTACAAGAGTTTCAGCACAATGCCTTAAATTTTGCTTCAAAAAGACTGATGTTACAATGATCCAATATACCATTTGGCATTTTTCCTTTTGGTTATTTCTTAGATTCAGTGGAAAATAAAGTTATACAAGTTGAGAGTCTCTGTTGGAAAAATTCAATCTGAATTTGAATTAGATTTTTTTTTTTAAAAAAAAAAAAAAAGATGCAAACAAAATTCTGAACAAAGATAAAATGATGCACAGGGAAAATGCTGCTGTTTCAACCAGTCACTATTTTGCATTTATCCCCAAAATAAGGTCTTATCCTATCAAAACTAACAACAACAACAAACAACAAAACAGATTAAATAGGGAAGGTCAACTGTACCCATGTATTCAGCAAATCTATGATGATTTTATTTAAAATTGATTTATCTGAAAAAAAAAGTATTTGGGGCATAAGGGTCAACAACTACCTGAAGAACTTGAGGTTCTAAGAAGGCAAATCAGGAGATTCAAGTGGAGGCTTCCAAGATAAGCAGCACTTTAATTGATCAAGTGAAGTTGCTGGGTGGAACACTCTCTGTGGCAGCTGTGTTCAGAAGTGCCACACCATGGTCAGTCAGGCATTTCCTTATATAGGAAGCAACAGCCAATTAAAGAGTTACACATGTCAGTACACATAGTATCAGCCAATCATATTTCATTCTTTTCCCACTCTTTTCCTTGTCTCTGTGTCTGTGTACGTGTTCTTCCTGCCTTCATAAAATGGTGTCCCTAACGCAAGGACAGTTTACAGAAGCAAAATAGTGGTAGTTATGTTAACAACAAGAATAAGTTTTCATCCTTTTATACAAACCCTATAGGGGGATATGTGTATTCATCAACTAGGTTTTGTTAATTTTGGTTTAGCAAATTATATTAATCCAGGCAAAAAAAGTAATTGCTTCTGAATCAGGGTTACAGTTGACCCCCTCAAGATTGTAAAACTTTCACTGTAGTCATTTCATGAGGATGCACTTCTTATTCCTTCTCCTGAATATCCCTATGTAGTGATCCCAGTCCCATAGAAGGCAATCTATATAGTTCTGAGACATCCTTGGTACTCTCTGAGCTTGGTTGTTTTCTTGAAGATGTTTCATTATCCAAACTAGGTAGCATCATTAGTAATGATAATGACAATAATGATGATAACTATGATGTTACCTAGTTTGGGTAATGCAGGGGTGTCAAACTGCCGGCTCGCGGGCTGGATGCGCCACCCCATTGCCAGCAATGGAAAAAAAGTCAGGATACGTCGTGACACGTCACGTGATGTTGCAAGTTTGCTACCCCTGGGGTAAAGAAACATCTGCAAGAAAACAACCAAGCTCAGAGAGTACCAAGGACCCCTCATTTCAGTTCTCATTTATTGATCTATATAGTTTTCTTTTCATTAGCACAGCTTGGAATATTTAGAGAGTGCTAAAACAGGAAGCAGATTATCCTATCCTGTCCCACTGTTTTGTTTGAAAAAAAATCTGAAGCATTGTTTCTTTGCAGGATCAGAGATATTAGCATATTTAAAATTAATGATTACCAAAGCTTTAATATTTGCTTTCTATAAAAATGCTATGCCTCCTATAATAGAAGAACATGTGGCTAGCCATACGTTAGTTGGTACTGACCATATTTATTTAGATTCTGTATACAAATAGCCATTTTTTCCTCTATCTCATAGTTAATCTCATAATATTTGTTAAAACATATTTTTTGTTGTTGTTTCATTTCTTGAGGGATTTCAGTAATTAAGAAAATCAAATACTCAGGAAAATGGAGGACTTCTCTGCAGGATAGTTCACAATCATTCTGACTGAACAATAAGACAATATTGCCTTCAAAAAAGTAAGGAGTATGTGTTAAGGGAAATAACATTGCTTTTTAGAAAAGAATATGAGAAAATTGATGTTAATTTATGCTGACAATTCCATGTTATTTTTCTTCCTCAAAATCAGAAATATTGGAAAATGCTCATAAGTTTCAATTCCAAATGCTTAGTGGGGATACAACAATGTTTTGGGTGGGCTTTTGGCTCACTACACAAATATATTTTAGAACAGTGGTTCTCAACCTGTGGGTCGGGACCCCATTTGGGGTCAAATGACCATTTCACGGGGGTCACCAAACCATGCTGTCCGCCATTTTTTTCCCTTTTCCCTAGCTGTCCTACTCCCTCTTATTAGTGGCCACACCCATTTGGGGGGGTCACCACAACATGGGGAACTGTATTATGGGGTCACGGCATTAGAAAGGTTGAGAATCACTGTTTTAGAATAATATTTTTTTCCCACTGACGTAGTATGAAGTGGACACATTCTTCTTCAACACTTTTTGAGGTGAAGGTAGTGTTTTAGGCCTCGTGAAATGTTGATCTAGATCAATGATCTTTCATGGAAGAATGTACACATTCATCTTTTTGAGATAAAATAGTAGAGACACCCAGAGCAGATCTAGTTTTGAGATGTGTTTCACTCAAAATTTAATGATGAATTAGGTGGATTTTTGGAGCTCCATAACCCAATAATTACTAGTGGACTCTGGCATAGAAAGAATGAATTTTACTTGTAAGTAAAGACATACAATAAGAAACATTAAAAAAAACTCTATAGCATCATTTCCTGTATCAATACCTATGTGTGGATAAGGAAATATAAAACCAAATATAAAACCAACCCTCCAAAACCAAAACTTGAATTTTGGGGGCAAATTGTTGTCTTGCAAAATGTAAACTAACACAAAAGAACACATGTATTCCTGGAAATTGTGAATTGAGTAATGAATCTACAGTACAAACACTCATGTCTTTAAACCATTCATTCCTTTGAATTCTGGGGCTAGTTATTTCAATTGGAATTGAATCCAGTCCTTATGTTGTCTGTTCAGAAACAACTCTAATAATTTAGCACACATGGCAGTGAATACCTTGTATTCATAATGATTGTGCATTTAGAAACATTTACAACAATGTTCAAATGACATGAAAGAACATAAAAGTAAATCCACCTTTCTAATTAATAATCCTTTAAAAGAACAGTCAACTGAGGTTAATGCTTCCAGTCCAAATGAAGCTTCATTTCAAAGAAATTAATTCAACATCATTCTACCTAAATAGAATAATGTACATCATATCTATTTTCCAAATTGATGCTTGACAATACATAACAGTACATTGTTAATATATGCCAACTTTATTTAAACTGTTCTTCTCTCTCTCTATGTAGAGAACTTCAAAAGGATTTGAACTTCTTTGTATTTAATCATCACTGGAGATAATTCAAATGATCCTTTTCGGCATTGGTACCTCTCACTCTCTTTGAAAGGCTCCTGATGATTACGAAGTGTTTTTCAAGTTGGCAACTTGAAGATGTATAGACTTCAATTTCCAGAATTTCCAGGCATGCTGGCTGAAGAATTCTGGGAGTTGAAATCCACACATTGTAAAGGTGTGAATAGCTATTTATATCTGTTAATATCTATATATCTATATCTATATCTATATCTATATCTTATAATAAAACAAAGTGAACACCAGGGTAATAATAAAAACTATAAAAGTTTAATTAAAAAGCGCCAAGCTTTCGCCGTCACCTGCCGGCATCCTCAGGGCTAGTGCGCCAGAGAGTGGGAGAGTCATTTTATAGGTATGTCAAGGCCTGCGCGCGGCTCCTCGATCTCGTCATCGGGCCTGATTGATTCAATTGCTCACGACTAGTCCGTTCCTTCCTGTTCCTTTCAGTTACGTGTCTATCTTCATCCATCCTGCCTTCCCTTAATCCTGGGGTGGATGGGTAATAACCTCTGTTATTTCGATGGTCCCTATGCTTTAACTCCTCCCCCCCGGGTTCGGATGGCAATATGCATTCCGTATTCCCTTCCCAATCGTCCTTTGTCCAGTTGTTCCTTTTGCGGTAGCTTTCTCTTTTGATCTTAATACTTTCCCTTTCTATACGCCTGTCATCCGGATGGTCTTGTAAGCCATTCCGAGTTGGATGTAACATGATGGAGGTCTGGGGTTGGGAGGTGAGTTGTTTAGCCATAGGAGGGGGCGGTTTTCTAGCTAGCTGCTTTGCACGCGCCGTGCTACGGGTAGTCGGTCTGGGGGGAGTGGTGACGGGATCACGTTCCCCTTGGTTGCCACAGTATCTTTCTTCAACTTTCCTTTTCTTTCTTACGCTGTTGGAATCTGTACGTATTTCACGGAAATCTTCGGGATCTACAAGTGGGGGGTGCGATAGTCCGATCTCTTGTGCCTTGTCAACCTCGCGGATCTCCCCCTCCCACCTTCCCTTCCATTCCGATCTGTTCTTTTCCTTCTCTCCAGTGGTATTTCCGGGTCTATCACTGGTTGCGCTCTGTGGCTCCCACTCTCCCAATTCGATTACCCTAGCCGAGCGGGGGGATCTTTCTTTCCTCTCCGAAAAGGCTAATGCGTTTCCTTCTGTGCGCGGGTAAGCTGTCATATTTAAAAGTTCTTCCCCACCTCCACTGGCTGTATCCTCCTTTGCATTGGTCGTATTACCTCGGATGGTCGTAATACCTGAGTTCTGGATCTTAATTTCCACCGTCTCCTTAGTCTTTTGGGGTTGTGGTAACATTGTTGATGTACTAGAGGTGTTCCACGGTTGCCTTTCTTCCTTTGGATTGCTCTGGATCAGTTGGGGGGTTAACACTCCCTCCTTGATGTCGTTAAGGCTGTCACCGAATCGTCGGGGGTGCTGCCGCTGATTATTTGTGGTCCACGATCTTAAGGCTACATATGCCGGGCACAGGTCAACATGTCGGTTAATAGAACTACTGTCCGAGAGCCATGCCTCCCTAAGTAGTCGGCCTCCCTTAGTATTGTCACTCGCCAATACGCTAACCTCGCTGAAGTTGAATCTATGGCCCTGTTCAGCCATGTGTGCCCATATCTGGGAGTATTGATCCCCCCTTCTCACTGCTAATCTATGTTCATGGACCCTGGTCTTAACTCGTTTAGCTGTCTCCCCAACATAATTACACTGGCAGTCCATGCAATCGATCTTATAGACGGCTGCCGATCTTTCAATGCTGGGGAGCGGATCCTTTGGGCGCATTACAGCCGCCCGCAGTGTTTGATTTGGTCTATGGGCCACCTGTATATTGTACGGAGCCAAGATTCTTGCCGTAGCTTCCAAGACGTTATGAATATAGGGGAGGGTAACACGTGTAGTTGTCTGAGGTGTAGGTTCTTGGGGTGTGGGGTTACTCCGGGGTCCAGATGATTTATTGAACCGATTAATAAACTTGGCCGGGTACCCATTACCTTTGCACACCTGGAAGAGGTGGCTTCTCTCTTCCCTCTTGGCTTTGGTAGTGCTGCAATGCGACTCCACACGTTTAAACAAGGTGCTGACACAGCTGACTTTATGGGCTATTGGATGATTACTCTCAAAGTGGAGAATCCTGTCCGTGCATGTTGGTTTTCGGTATACCTTGGTAGTCAGACATCCGTCCAATTGGCGCTGCACTAATACATCCAAAAATGCTAAACTGCCCTGATTTTCCTCTTCCATAGTGAACTGGATGTCTGGGTATACCGAATTCAAAATGCCCATAAAGTCAGTCTTATGTTGCTTCTTGATGACAAC